TTTCTAAGGTACATAAACTTTTGGGATTCACTGTATAGCCAATACATCCTTAAGACGATCTTAAGAATAAGCAACGACTCTGAATGCCGGCCTATGACTATGACGACTTCTTTATCTTTCTTAATTTCTGCTCTCCTTCTATCCTTATATTTTTGAGGCGATAGTATCAAAAAGTGGCAGCGCCCGTGTAATCGTTGGAGCATCGAATGGGATTCAATAGGGCTTAAAACATAGTCGGTGATTGAACTTGACTTTTCGGTGGAGTTCGAAAGAATTTTCAAGGTCGAAGCACGAATTTTCTGCTGGGTAAAATGTGGGACTGTTATTATCCATTTGGTTCATTATCTAACATCTTGTATCTTCATTTGACCTCGCTTCGTTACCGCGTCGCCATCTAGAAGTACCGCACGAAGATGTTCTACTGTCAGTGGAATCGATAAATCCTGGTGAACGGAACTTAAGCCACTTCCGGCTCGAATTCGAAATATCGTGTTGCTTATAATTAATTGTTCGAGATCGTTTAAATTCTCACTGTTCAGCATTTTCTTGACCAGTTCTACTAATTTCAAGGTTGAAAGGAAACATCGACTCGTTAACGTGATTCTATTAAAATACAAGAGACTAAAGATCTTAATCAAATTATGTTATTATAATATATCTTAAACTTTTTGAAATGATAATTTTGCAAATTCTTAGTATGAAATTAATTCGCATAATTGAGAGATGAATAATAATAGAGGAAATATGAAGGAATGATTCGGATTTCGTTTAAATATAAGTAACAAGTTGAGTACATAAGGTTTATTCAATTTTATTCAATACATTCTGCGTAATAGAAGTCGACTTATATAGTATATTAATTATAATCTAAATTGTTAGTAAAACTGGTATTTCTATACGTACGATTAGTAAATGGTTAGTAAAAGGAACATTATTGAATTTTATGACATATTACGCGGAAGGAAGCATGAATAAAAAGCAAAATCGATGAATAAGTAAAATGCATGATGGATAATACTGCGAATTGTCCCAGCGATTCATTGGATCCTCTCTCGTTAGCCCATACGTAAAATAGAAGTCCTGAAAAATAAAGAAACATATTTTGAATATAAATATACAGCCAGTTATTTTGTATAGAACCATTTAGACGAACGATATAATTGATTATAAACTCACGTTTCAAATAGCGTAGAATTATTAACTGTCATTCGAGGAAGATTCATCGCTGTCGTCGTCCTTGTTGTTAGCTTTGGGATTGCTGTCCGTAGCATTGACCACCTTCAACGGATGCTCATTCCGTTCTTTCAGCAGGATCGTTAAATTCGGCATGTAGCCGATTTTATGAGACACGAACGGATTTCCCTCCAAGTGTAGCTTCTGCAAAGTGTACTGTTCCGCAACCAGTCGTATCGTATTATAGGAGTACAGTTCGTCGATGTCCGTAATCATGTTGTCCTTCAGCGACAGTACTTCCAATTGCCTCGAGTTGGTTATCAACGTCATGGGTAGCTTGTCGATCAGATTCTTGGAAAGGTCCAACGTTCTCAATCTTTGCAAGCTGACGAAAGCGTTGTCGACCACGTGCAGGATATGATTATTCGCCAGCAATATAGTCTCTACGTACATCGTTGAACAGAAGTTCAGATCTGCCACCGCTTCGATCACGTTGCTGCTCAGATCCAAAAGTTTCAGACTGTTCAAGGGGCACACGTTCGGCACGGCAACGAGCTTGTTGTCGTTTAAACGAAGTTCCTTCAGTTTGTTCAGCCCGTGAAACACGTCCTTTGGTAATGACTTTAACTCGTTCCCGGACAGATCCAAGGTGACCAAATTCACCGTGTCCATGAAAGCGCCGTCCGACACCGTGTCGATGTCGTTACGGGACATGTTTAACGACACCAGCTTCCTCATACCCTTTAAGTCCAATGAGTTCGACGATTCGTACTCGTCCCTGCACAATTGCTTGAACTTGTTCCCGCTCAAAGAGAGACTCGTGAGATTGTTCAAAACGTTTTCTCTTATTTTGAAAATCGCGTTATCGTCCAAACGTAACACGGATAAGGTCCCTGGTAGGTCGTCCAAGAAGTCCGTCGATTCGATGTCGTTCCCGGAAAGATCGAACAGGATCAAACCGGGTGCGAATTTCTTTACCGAAACTTCGAACCGGGAAATTGCATTTCTCCTCAACGACAACTCTCGTAACTTCGGTAACGATTGTAACGTCTTCCGGATACTCATGTCTTCTGCGCGCCGCTTGTTGTCGTCTATGATAAGTTTCCGCAAGGTTTTGTGCTCCTTGAACCAGAGGATGTTCTCGGTAGTCAGATTGTTCTCGCAGAGGCTCAGGACTTCGAGCATGGTCAGCGACATGATCGCTATCGGCGAGAATTCCGTGATTTCGTTGTTGTCGAGGTATAGTTCTCTCGTGTTCGAGCTGTCGATGAAATCATCGCCGACTCTCTTCAAGCCCGTGTTGCTCAAATTAAGTATTGTACTAGGGATGCATTCTATAATTGGACAGACCGACGTCTGGGTCACCGGTGGTTTACGCGTCGAAACTATCGGCCTTCGCGTTGTCGTTGATCTTATCGTCCATTGTTTTCCGTGAAACTCCGCCCCATCTTTCTCAAAATTATTAGAGATAATTTGGTTTTCTTCATTGCTGAGACCACCAAGCTTAGGACGCCATGGTGTTGGACCCTGTTCGGCCGACGGCTCCATGACAAAAAGGAACACGAACAACACCGTCCACGATATAAACTGCATCTAAAAATGTAAAAATTGAATTTAGAGAAATCTAATTAGGTAAAAAATCAAATAACGAATCGACATTATGATTCTACGTACTTCTCAGGACGTAAAAAGGCAGGAGGAACGATATCGACGATCGTCAGACGAAAATCACACCACTCTTTACGAACGCGTTCGAGCGACTTAGCATCTTCTGCCCCTGGACTTCTTAATTGGCCTCCTGCTTACAACGCAGCGATGATCCTTAAGAAATTCAACGCCGCGTCTCCAGGGCTGTAGCTCGATCTTCGAATCAGCCCGCGTTGTACGTGTTAATCTGTCTTACTTTTTTTAACCAGGATCGGTCGTTTACTAAAACTTACTATCCGTTACTTAATCGCTATACTACAGATCGTTACGCAATTTCATTATAATAATAAAAAAATTTATTTCACTTTCGATATTTTATTTATTCTCTTATCGTTTCCATTTTCTGCAATCTATTTTTTAAATCCTGTGCTCGCAGTAATAGCAGACTCGCTATGGCAGGCGGCCTCGTGACTGTTTTAACTTCATTTTTAAAAACTGCGTTCAAAAGATCGCAGGGCGATGGGTTTCGTTAATTCGCTACTTGGCTGGAGCACATAGTTGCTGATTGTGAATATCATTCTGCAACGTTTACTTCTACCCGGTCGGGTTGCAATCGTGCTGATAACGCGCAAGGAGATATCTATTAGAACGTCGACACGATATACTTACCGCTCCGGAATGTTTCGTTGTAGATTCCGCGGTGGAAGATTAACGATGTATACGTATAACTTCCGGCGCAGCGTTGCATGAACGCGAGGAAATCACGCTGACGATGTGCCAAGGAACGAGTTACACATGTACTTACGAACGAAGAAATAAAAAAGAGGCATCGATCATTTCATCGAACGGGATTACATAATGATTTATTTTCTTTCTCTTCGAGCGATCCTCAGAATAGGAGAAATTTTTAGGGAGAGCCACAGTGCACAGAAGCGCAACATATTTTTGTATGCCAACTTAACTAAACATACATAGATACCCAACTACTTCAAACTCCAATGACCTCATCCTTAACTCCAACTCATCCTGTCAATATCCAGCTCTATATCTTCCACTTTGTACTCTGCGTCATTTTTAATCTTCGACCTCTGCTTACCAACTAAAAGATTACTAATTCCAGCCCCTTCTACTGTTCCTTCCGAGTTATTTTCCAAAAACTTGTTAAAGAAAAAAATTTCTTCTGTTCATTCTAAAACCACGAAGCTCTACGCCAAATCTATCGAGTTTATTATTATTACTGTACACGGTTCTTATTGAATATAATAAACATCACCTCTGCGGAATACAACAATATTTTAATAAATAATTAGTAATCTAACTTCGTGTTACGGCTGATGAACCAATATTTATTTTTATCATCTGGTAATAAGCGCATGTTAATAAAAAAGAAAGGGTTGACGAAAAGGACGACGATCTCTCTTATCTATTTGAAGTTGCCACGCGATAATCCTTTACTGTCGGATACTGTTCTCTGTTCTTATCCGTAAAGCGAGAAGCATTACAGTCAGCATCGTGATAATTTTATGTAATCGTGCTCGATCTGCAAAATTCTTGTTTAAAACCACGCGCGTGACGGAACGAAGGAAAGAAACTCTGAACTCTGGACTTGTTGCACACTGATCTCCGTACACAGTTTATTTTATCAAAATTACTCGTTCACAAACGTCGTCATATAACATACATATAATCAAATGAAATACAGTAAAAAATTATATATAATACAATGGTTTTTATCACGTTCGTATCACGAAGAATAGCGCTTAAAATGTGTACACAATACATTTATTCGGTAACTGCTGTAGACTGTTAGCGTCTATCGAGTCAAAATTGTTACCTTTTACATAGAATTCTTCTAAGTTCGGTAGGTACTTTATCATCATACTTTGTATATTAAGGAACTTGTTCATTCGCAAATTTAGATGTCCTAACATCTGTAAGCTCTCGTCCCATCCGTCAGGTAACGATTGAATTTGATTTTCTGACAAATCTAACGCTTGAAGTTGATACAGATTTGAAAAAGCCAGTTTATCAATAGTAGTAATTCCGTTTCCTTTTAGACTCAACACCCTTAAGGAATTCGGCATGTTCATATTTATAAATTCAGTTATATAATTATAATTCAATGACAGCTGTTTCAGGTGGTTTAAATAGACTAAATACGGCACTTCTTGGAGCTGATTATATCCCAAATTTAAATTTTCCAAATTCGACATATTTTGGAATAAATCTGCGTTTATATTCGAAAATTCATTACGCGATAAATCTAAAGATTTTAACAACGGTAAACTAAATTTCGTAGGGTGAGAAAGAGAACAGTTTGATAGTGAAAGTGTTTTCAAAGTTGTCACTTGTGAGTCTAAAAAGAAGTATCTAAAAGAAATGTTGTCTAAATATAATTCTTCGACAGATCCGTAATTGTCGATGGAGATAAAATCCGACTTAGTGTGATCTAAATATACTCGTTTTAAGCGAGGGAAATATGCTGATATATTGTGATTGAACCGTAAATTGCTCCCTGACAAGTAAATAATTTCCAAATTAGGTACAGCATTCACAAGAAAATTTAGATTGTGTTCCGAAATGTCACTTGCTCCCCTGAGCGATAGAGTCCGTAAATTGGGCAGGGCAGCTTTGGAATCGACCAAATAGTCTATCTCGTTCGATGACATATCCACTGTTTCTGAAGACTGTTGATTGTCTAATATCAAAGTTTTCAAACGGTCGTGCTGGATTTTTAACTGGTTCAGCATAATTCTGTTTTGTGTCAAGTCCACGCATTCTAAATTCGGTGCGTTTTTAAATACATCTTTATGTACCTCTGAGATCTTGTTTTCTCTTAAAAAGATAGATTTTATTGTGTCACTCTTTACTAAATCTTTTGGTATTTCATATAATTGGCTTTTAGACAAATTTATGTAATCTGTATTTCCGCACTTTACGGAGAGTTTCTTATCAATTATTAATTCATCGAAATCAGTGATCGGGTAGGTATTTAAAGAAACCGACGGTAGGCCGGAGGATCCAGCAATAGATACTACGATAAGTATTATAAAATTGTAATACATCTGAAAAAGCAAAAGGACACAGTGACAGTGACAGAATAATAAATTTCACAATTTAATTTAATGACAGAGGTGGGGAACCTTTTTACCACTAGATGCCACATTTGAATTAAACAGTAATAAAGAAGGCTGCTATAATTTTTTATATTNTCCTAAACCGTTGAATTTACGGGAAAATTGTATAGGACCTTTCTTGTAGAGGACGACGAGATCTACAATCTCTATGTAAAAGTTTTTCGCTAGCATTAATATTTAAAGAGTTATGGACGAAAAACGAAAAAACAGTTTTTCGCAAATTACTCGTAAACTATTTGTTTAAACAATTACTCGTAAACTGATTACCATAAGAATACTTGCAAACTTTAAATCACTATAATTTTTCAGAAAATCCATGGATTCATTTAAAATTATGCAGGTAGCTTTTTGATAGTAATAGGAATCTATAATAACAAATTCAACATGCTAGCATTGTTTAAGTGAATAGCCTATACATCCTTAAAGTAATTGAATACATTGAAATATAAATAACATTTAAAAGCGTACATACAAGGAGGCCGCACATTCCCCACCTCTGGTCTATGATAATGCAATCACTTATTGAGAATAGTGACCGAAATAACACTTTGAATGGAATTAGAGAAGACGATGATTGCTCAGTACTTACCATCATGATCCGTTATCCAAGTTTGTAGCAAAACTACTGTCGCGATCGGTCGCTGCAGCGGCTTATATTTATTATGCGAGCGTTATCTCATTAAATCATTTTTACATGAATAAAATAAAACTTTGCCACGAGCGCGAGAATCTGGTGCCGTAAGATAGACTTGAACAAGGTCGCACTTTATTTCCTTTACCGCGCATCAATTTACCGTTCCGAGAACGATTTTTCGACGGCCACGAGTACCGCGAAGAGAATAATGTCGGGTGTGTATGCGGTGCGATTAAACGTTTATAATATTAGCAATCGCGTCATTGATATCTGGACGTACAACGAAAGCACGACGATTTTCATATTGAAGACAGAAGTATTTTCGTCTGAATTTTTTATTCATCAATAATAATACATTACATTTAAGGAGAAACTGTTAAATATTAAGTAAGACTTCGTCAGTAATCATAATAATACTTATACCGTGACTCAGAATTTGTAGTTAACGATGATGGAGAGCTACACCGCTCTGATTCTGCGCCATTCGTTAAATAAATAGTCAAATTGTCTGGTATCATTTGTAGTATAGATTTCTTTAAGTACAAAAGATTGTTGCCTGCAAAGTGCAGCATCTTTAAACTAGAAGGCAAACTCGAATAGAGCAGAGATTCCAGCGAAACAAATTTGTTTTTCGATAAATTTAAATATCGAAGATTTTTCAGTGGTTTAGACCAATCCACAGGCAAATAATCGATTTCATTGTTGTTTAAGCGGAGTTCTTCTAATAGTCCTTGATTTTGAAACACGTCTGGGTGAAGGAATGAAATTCGGTTGTTACTTAAATCCAGTTTTCTTAAATTCGTCACATTCACGAAAGAGTTCACCGTCAAGTGCGTTATGTTATTACACTTTAATGTAAGTATCGTCATGTTCGACGTACTCAGTTTCGGAACTTCTTCGAACGAGTTATGATCTAATGCAAGGATCTCGAGCGATTTCAAATATTCGAGCTCAGATGTTAAGCTAAAAGAAGATAACAAGTTGTAAGACATATTTAAGTATCGGAGATTCGCCAAGTTACTGAATGCTCTTCTAGAGATAGAACGGATTTGGTTGTTCACTATTGATAAAATTTCCAATTGCTTCAGTCCCGTCAGACCAAGTCCGTAGTCACCTATTTCTTTGATATTATTGTTGTCTAACCACAGGAACGACAAATTACTGAATCTTGGCGTATAACGGTCGATCTTGTTGTCGCTGAGGTCAAGATGCGTCAGCGAGTCGCATATGGCACTCAAGGAGAGTTGTCTCCTGTTTTTTGCGAGATTCAGATACTTCAATTTCGGGAAGGGGTTCTCCTGTATACTGCTGAGGCTGCTAATTCCAGTGTTTTTTAAATTCAAATATTCAAGCTCAGGATATATATCGTTTACTATCGTTTCTCTTGAATACGAATAACTTTGATCTCCAAGGAGCAGCACTTTAACTTTCGGAAGCGGCCCAAAAGCGAATAAATCACTGGGGTCGATACTGTTTTTGCGTAGATCAAGATACTTTAAATCTGTTAAATTGTTGAAAGCTCCTGAGATCATACTAAGTTTGCTTGTTCTCATGGTGATACATTTTATGGTAGGAGCACCGATAAAACTGCCTTTAAGCGTTAACGACGAAGAGAATTCTAACGTGAGCGTCTCATTCGCACAGATATTTGGAACGTCCGATATCAGTTTATAGATATCTTTCACCTCGATCGACTTGTAACTGTCCACGAATTCTTCAGTGTAATTGACATGTACATTGTTTGCAGACGCGATTAATGGCAAGAGAACGAATACACCGAAAGTGATCGACAGCTTCATTGTTTTCGATTCCCTAAAAATAAAATGTTAGTTTTCTTTACCTGGATTGTATTCCTTCTGAACAATCGATTCGCGAAATGAACGGAAAAAATTCGCAATGTGCACAAAAGTACATTGATCGTTGGTATATATTATAATTTGTTGAAACGAGAGACTTTATTTTACTTACATCAGGATTCGACACGTTCTAGTGTAAGTCCCACTAAACTATATACGGTAGCGATAAAAAGAAACCTCTTATATATCTTTTTGACGCGATAAAGTATTTATCACATAAAATATTAAAGTATGGTAACGATAACGTACGACGATAAGGATGCGCATTGAATAAAAATAAATGCTCACTTCCTGACGGTACACGATTACATATTTGATATGCAATTCAAGCATTTTATAGCGAAATTATGGAAAGAGATAAATTCAAAGGAAACATTTTAGTTATAAAAATCTGTACTTTATTTAACAATAGTTTCTTTGTTCTACAAAATATTCAACCTTCCTTCGTATCTTCACTTGATTCTTGCGATCCTTCTATCGTTCCCTTTTCGACAGAATTATCTTGGTAAGTCAACGTCTGGGGTGGGTTCTCGTATTTGTGTTTGATGTCCTTCCACAGTCTCTGCAAAAATTAATTCAGCAATAATAATAAAGAAAAGAGAGTTACATATTGAAATATATTTCTTTGTCCAGTGGTAGTTCGGAAAGGATTGGTAGCGTACTCCTTCGTTTATCCATTCAAAAATATTTTCACAAGCGTGATCGTATGCTCTTTCAAAGAACATCGAGGCAATAACGATGCTAAGAACGAAACTGGATGTTCGTTTAAAGATGTAACGATAAATAAGCCGAGAAATCATTTCCAATGGCTTTTAAATCGCTTTCAATGCAAATGTCTACACGTGACAGTAACGAGTCAAATTGTTTGAGAGATATTCATGTTAGAGAATATAAGAGGCTTCAGGGTGATGAAAAAACAAATGAATGTCAAAAAGAAACTTTTTACAGATCTTCTTTTAATATCATTTAAGAAAAGTATTTACATTACTAAACGAGGATACGAATTAGCAATGATGTAATCGTAAACCAAGATGATAGACAAAACATGCTTAGAAGTTTCCGTTTCTCTTTCACATGCCGATAGAAAAAAGGAAAGAAACTCTCTCGTTCGTTTGCTTAATCGCCTGGTCTCAAGTCTCCTACTTGAGCACTCAGTCTGTTCTTATATATTTATGGATTTAAATTCGGAGATCGTAGGAGTTGTATAAAATATTTTTTGTTCGTTACAATTACTGACGCATCGAAATACAAATGAAAGAACAACGAAACGGTGACGGTTCAGTTTGTAGACATGTACAGCACAATTATATAGTACATTTTATTATACAAAATAAATTCGAAAAGAGCAATGTTTCCGCTAACCTTTGGGAGCGGTGAAATTATTTGACGAGGAAATTGGCTCTTGCAACACTTTTCGAGACAATCTAATACGTCCGTTCGCCGGATCTCGTCCGAAATATTTTACTTTTATGTCGTCCCCCACGTTCAGCCCGAGTACGCTGGGATGATGAATCTTGCGGTTATCTAACTGGGAATTGGGTAACAACGTCGGTACCATAGCGGGATACAGCGTGACCATGACTCCAGTTTCCCGGATCTCTGTTATTTTCGCCGTGTAAATGTCGCCGAACGTTAACGTTGGTTCCACGTCTTTTCGTAGAATCTCATTTATCATGTTTTTCGCTTCGTTCATTGCATTTTGGTTAGGCGCGAATATGGAGAATGTGGTGTCGCCGTCCGAATATATCTGCCAAGTAAAATAACATAAATTGATTGATTGATTGATTGATTGATTGATATAAAGATTCGATCGATGATTAAAAGCTTCGATCATTACATTGGCTCCAGTCTCGTATAAAATTTTCTTTAAGTTCGAGCCTCCAATACCGAGAAACTTTCCCCTTTGATGTATTGGCACTTCTATGACATCGAGCACAGGTTTATTCTCCTTCTTATCAATCTTTGGCGACGATATCACTTCGTTCATTATATTGATAATTCGATGTTTCGCTGTACTTGCTTCTTCAATGCTTTTCATTATCACCTTCAGGGGAACACCCGGTATTTTTACGTCAGCTTGAAAAGCGGTAAACCCCTTTTTTGTACCCGCTATCTTAAAGTCCATGTCTCCAAGATAATCTTCTATACCCTGTGACCGAGAAAATCTTCGTTTTATCTGCTAAACATTAAACAATATGTACGAAACATAAAATTACCGATATGTCAGTTAATATTTTATAATCGTCTTCGGTTAAATTTGAACTGGCAGGATTTGTCATTAGCCCCATAGCTACTCCAGCAACAGGAGCTGATATCGGTATACCCGCGTCCATTAATGCTAAACTACCACCGCAAACGGATGCCATAGAAGACGAACCTGCGGAATTAAAACAGCATCGAGTCATCTTCTTCTATGAATTTAGTGATCGCTTTTAAATTGACAACTCACCATTCGATTCTAATACTTCACTCGTCAGTCTTATAGCAAATGGATAATCTTTCGGTATGACTGCACGCAGTCCTTTCTCCGCCAATGCCCCGTGCCCGACCTCTCTGCGATCCATTCCGGTAATTCTACCGGTTTCGTTCACGGCATACGGTGGAAAGTCGTAATGCAGAAAAAAGTGTTTTTCCTTTATACCACTGAAAGTTACAAAGAGAAGAATGTACTACTTGTCAAGGGTCGGTGAACAAAGTATACTTACCTAGTGAGCATTGAAATGTTATCCATTTTAAGTGAACTTTCGATACTGTCTAGAGTCACCGTGCATAGAACTTGAGTTTGTCCTCTTTGGAAAAAGGCAGAACCGTGAAGAGGGTGAAACAGGTCAACTTGACACTTTATATCTCTCAAATCATCCAACTGGCGACCATCGCATCTAAAATTATTTGACTATTTATATTTAATATGTGTGTTCAATCCCGCTGGTGACCAGATGATTTCTTTACGAACAAAAAGTACCTTCGATTCGTTTCAAATATTAACGTTCGGAAAATACGTTTTGAAAGCTTATTGAAGGCTCTCATAACATTCGAAACATATTCCGGGTCACGACCTGTGAGGCTTTCTATCATACCATTTCTGACATCGGCGATAGCATTGTCTCGTGAAATTTTGTCATGAGTATAACAACTAAAGACATCGCGTAACTTAGTCTCTGCATAGTTTCTTACGAACTCCTCTGCCTCCGTGTCCGATTTCTCATTGTCGTCAATATCTATTTTTGTTTTTCCAAATTTATTTTGTAATTCTGTTATAGACTGTATGATCATTTGACATTCTCTGGCACCAAGTTTGATCGCCTTTCGAAGTTCCGGTTCTAAAATATCGTTCGCCGATCCCTCGATCATGACGACTAAATTTTTCGATGTACAAGATAGAACAAGGTTCAATGTGCTATGTTGTAGTTCACGTTTCGTCGGATTGATCACATGCCTTTTGTCAATGAAACCGATTCTTACAGCTGCTACAGGCCCGTTCCATGGAATATCAGAAACACTTAAAGCTGCAGACGCAGCATTAATAGATAACACGTCAGAATCGTTGATGCCATCAGTAGCTAATAAATTACATACTATTTGAGTTTCATAGCAATATCCTGGTTTAAGCAGAGGACGTACAGATCTGTCTATTATTCTACTAGTGAGAATTTCTTGGTCTGTATGGCCCATTTCCCTACGAAGGAAATTAGTTGGTATACGACCTATCGCAGCAGCCTTTTGTCTATAGTTTACAGTTAATGGAATCATGGAATCATTCAGTGGTACATTTTTCCTAACTACAGTGGTCATAATCGACGTGTCGCCAAGCGTAGCAGTAACGCTTCCACTTGTGAATCGTGCAAACTTCCCGGTTAATAGCGTCATTGTCGATCTAAACAAAAATTCAAAATCGATGATAATAAATACGGAATTAATAACGTAGTAAAATATTTCATTCAAGGAACAGGATATTTTATTTTTTTCATCACTGCTTTGCCTTTACGGCCCGTATATTATATATTAAATATAAAAAATGCTAACAAGTTAGAGGTTAAAAAGCACGTGATAATCATACCCATTTGATAATTGAACGCGTACGGTTTCTGGACTTTTATTGTTTGACACAAATCTAACATGGAACGTATTTCCATTTTTATTGTGATTCTTCAATCGTAGCAAAATTAAACTTCTGTTGTTTAATAATCTATTACGTCTAAACAGCACCATCCTCACATTGAATTTGATTTCAACGATGTGCTCGATGTGCTCATGCTCATGCTCATACTAGCCAGTATGGGCAGACGAAAATCCTATCATAGCAATTTTTTGTATCTTATGTGACGATTAACATAATAACGCAAATTTTGTACTGATATTTTATAATATGATCCTAATTAAACTAACACAAGTAATCGTGCGCTAATTTTCTGAAAAATTCTGTAATCTTATTGAAATTTGTACATGAATGATATGTGGATGAATTCGATGGGTTAAGAAGTGAAGATTCAGTAGAATATTATTTAATCTCCGACGAGATGTTGAAAGAAGTATATTCTGTATTAAAACCACGGTTGACAAATGCTCTGATCATCAAAAGATCGATCTATGAATTTCCCAGATCGACTTTTCCGAAAGTGTATCATAAACCTCCTCCAAATTTGAGCTTCCGTGAAAAAGTTCGGCTTGCAGTTCGCGAATTCAAGGGCGAATTCAAAGTACTTTATAAAGAGCTACGGGATAGTTATCATTTCTGGCATACGGAACACATCGTTCCGTACGAAGACGATATTGTGTGGAAATTCGATGGAACTGAGAAATCGCTGGACCAATGGATCGTGAATTGTGACAGAGATTATGCCATCGGCTACTCGATCGCCAAGTAACAAAGAATACTTCTACATTTCCGAATAATTTGAAAACGTTTTCCATACTCGACACATTTTCAGATTAGACTTGTCAAGCTCTGGTACCGGAATATTTCACGGTGTATTAGATACCCGTCTACCCAAAGACGGTAAAACTGAACGTTCCGGTTATTGCAATATAACAACTATAAGGAAGCTAAAATCTTTTAAGCGAGAGGACACTTACGATTGGACTAAATATAATGAGCTTGTTTTACGAATTCGAGGGGACGGTAGATGCTACCTGTTAAATATTCTTCAAAGGGGTTACTGGGACATAACGTGGTACGATGCTTTCAATTACGTATTGTACACCAGAGGTGGCCCTTATTGGCAAGTGGTTCGTATTCCATTCGCAAAATTTTTGCATTCTTCGAAAGGACAGGTTCACGAGAACCAGTTTAGTATGCCCGAGAATCGGGTCACAAATTTTGGAATCACAATCGCAGACAAAAAGCCAGGTCCATTCAGATTAGAAATTGATTACATCGCAGTTTGTTACAATCCTGAAATCTTTGAAACTTTTGCCTACGAACAGTACGACGTACCTGGTAGAAATTAATAACAGTTTTCTTACTAAATTATCATGAAGTGAGTAATCATTTGTCCAAACATCATTTATGTACATAGTAGATGTTTAAGTGTCTCATTTATTGTACAGACAAATAATAAATTTACAAAAAACAATGTATCGTGTTTATTAAAATACATTATTCTTATCTAAGTAGGCGGCTTCTTCAAAGTCTTTCTCTTTAAAAATTTATACGTATTCTTTGATATCAAGTAGCTTATACCTCCTGCTAATGTCGTTACTGCTGTTACATAGCATAACGCCTCTAACACCGGATGATTTACAAAATGAAACACAGGAGCAGCCAGTGTTCCAGCGATAAAAGACAATTGAATACCAGTATTTAGTTTGCTTATGTACGTTGGTGCTAACTGTGCTGTTGCATGCGTAGGATCAAAGTATCTAGCCAATGTTTTCTGGAAATAAAATTCTATATGTTCAGTACCAACCATTGTCTCAGTAAACGATTTATATAGTATCTACTAACTGGAGGTGGTAGAGACTGGTATCTTATGTAAGATGCAGCTGAAACTAAGGCAACATCTCTTGCAACGACAAGACATGTTAAAGGTACAGGAACTAAGCCAACCCAGGCCAGAGATAGAAACAGTGTACCTACAAGTAATTTGTCTGCGACTGGATCTAGAAAACTGCCAAGCTTAGATGCTTGAGAGGTCCACGTGCGCGCTATCCATCCATCGGCTAGGTCACTTAGTCCTGCAATTATTAATAGCCACAATGCTATCTGTAATATAAACAAACGATATTTAAGAGTAACTTGAATAAGAAGTCTGTATTTCAACATCGCTGAAACTTTTACCTGATAATCTTGTGACAGAATCAAGTAGCTCAGGTAAGGCGACGTCACAATTCGAGCCATGCAAAGTAAATTTGGTACTGTCCAAATGTTTTCTTTCTCTATTATTTCTTCCACTTTTCTCTTAGTTTGTTTAATATCTTGAAGCACTTGTAACCTCAGTGCCTTCCTCCTACTGAGATGTTCCCTTTTAGCAACATAATTTTTATGATGGTTACTGATTCCAGTAGCGTAAGTTCTCGTTTGGTATGTTAAGTATCGTTTCAGACATCTGTCTAGCCAACATTTATTCAATGTTGCCGATCGTTTGAAACATAATACCGCAAAATAGCTCATAATCACTTTATTTCTGTGTTATAGTAATACATAGAACGAGAAATGAGATCATATTATATCATGTGCTTGTCATTGTTAAAATCGTGGTTCACGATCAATTTAACCACAATATTATCTGCGAGCGAATTTCGTCCGAAAAGGTTTCACGATAATATACTTCGATTAATCTAAGGGTTGTAAAAAAAATGTATTAAATGGACTTCTGAGGTCACATTTTCGAGGTTATGTTGTTCAACAACAAATAACATGCGTACTTTACCTGTATCAAGTTAAAACATCTCTTTCTCTCATATATGTATAACAGAAAAAGAAGAAAATTAATACTATCGCGTTTATTTAAGGAAAATGAATTAATTACTCTATTTTTGCTCTCATTTTTATTGAAAATTCTATTGTTTCGAAATGATCAGGAAATCTTATTATTTATACGACTGGATACAATAATACAAGTTCATATTATCGATTAACTAAAATTAATACCGCTACTATAGGAAACTCATGTAATTTCGTAATAAATTAATTGTAGTTCTCGGACTATAGAAATCGATGCATCAGTCATCTGATACTGTCTGTTACGAATAATTCAGCGTCGAGAATGAGAGGAAACTATAATTAATTTTCGTATCATAATTTCATTTCCTCGACAGACAAATTTGCGTTACGTTTATAAAATATTGATTACCGATAACGAGAACCGTAATCGTTTTTCGATATTTGTGCTTCAATTCTCGCGTTAAAATAATAACAAAGGATAATACATTTTGTGTAATGAAAACCATTTAATTATCTCCGACCTAACATTATATTCTTTACGTAACATCCAATTTTCTTTGAAACCATTAATTGTTTTTTCCATTCACGCAAATGGGGTGATGTAGCGTTCGGTATTATCAGATCTTGCTCATTTTTTAAATAATATGATACAGTGTGCAGTTACCAAAAACGACGTCTAATCTACTTGGTATGCATGTAGTCATACAAAAATCAAATTTTAATTACGATATGAATATTTCTATTTATTTATTCGTTCGCTCGACGTATCAGTTCTGTTCTCGCGTGTATATCAAGATTTGAGATTGAAGCTTCGTTCATAAAGATGAAAATACTCAATTCAAAATTGGGAATTTAGAAAAGGTTTTCATACATTTTAAGTGGATCGGGAATGATTTTAAGTAGCTGTATATGCGTATTTAATTATATTCTTCAGATTTTCATCGGAATGAGAACCCTCAGGGAATCAGGCGAATGAGTGCCTATGAAACGCATGCGTTGGGACGGTCACGGTATTGCAGGCGCACGACTCTGCGAGCAACAGACTGCTGTGTGTACATCCCCGCCCACGTATTATTATTCGACTGACTCCGTAACCACGCTTCTCGGTGATCGCGAGCGGCCACGAGTATCCCGAAGAACGGGTGGATAATGAATTTATTATTCGCGGAAAACGTGCCGCGTCCCGTCGACAGACCCACGTAAGAAGGCTTTTAATGTGACAGAGGGACGAGCATGATTCTGACTGGATCAGACCATTTTCTGGCGGGTAAGTCCACTATCTTCTGCGTTCTCCACGACCCTTTCATCGAATTCACCTGTTCTGGGACGATCCGACACGGAGATTACGTTCAGTCGGATCGCCAGTCAAAATCTGAACCGCCTACAAAGAGCAATTCACGGCAATCGAGTTGGCGAAATGTCTGAACGACACGCGTGTTCCTTTCGTTCGTTCGCCACTTGAACACATCGGATCAATTCAAATAATAAATTATTTCAATCGCACGACATTCATTCGTAATCTGTATACAACGATTTCCCTTTACTCGGTGCACAAATACATTCTCACGTTAAAGAACGTTTTACGTGTATTTTGATTAATCGAGGACGATTCGAAGGTGGACGTACGCCACCGTTTCGTCCGCATTGCGCAAATCAGGATCATTTCGAAGTGCGTTGTTTCGGTGTAAACCTGTACCGTTCCTCGTTAATGTTTCTATTAAACCAGCAGAGACCATGAAAATTTCATAGTCAACTATCGATTCGCTTCTTCATTAAAACGCGATCGACTCGTCGCTGGTAGTTGTACAATTACGGGATTTTCGTCGCAATTTTTACGGTCAGCTAAGTGATATCGTTTTGAACGGAAATTACCGGAAGTAGGGTTTCGTAAGATCTCGATAAGTCGCGAATCATTAAACGTGCTCGCTGCGCAATATCGCGCGGTGGTTCGCGTGATAAGTAGAGCGATGGTTAATTATTCCAGGTCATTACGAGGTAACGTGTCGCTGCCGTTTTAACGCGTTCGATACGCCGACGGGACACGTACGACCCGCCGGCCGAGAGAAAAATTCTAATGGGTGAACGGGTGAACGCCTTTCCTCGTGGTCGATAAATAATTCACAACTTCGTGCCCTTTTCTGTCCCGTCCTAGCATCCTTGTTCACGGCTCCGTTCTCCGTCCCACCCGACCTCCCGGCTCGGTTTCATTCATGATCGATCACGATTCGTCGGACGTTAAATAATATAAACGGTCAGCGGCGGCTCGACTCCGAGCAGTCGTTCTCTCACGATCGATCCGATTTACAGTACCTGTGGAAGCGACGGCATTTCTGGGTGCCATTGCTGGCTTCGTCGTACTCCTGTTGGCACTGTTCTTGTACCTGTCACGAAAGTGGTGCTTCACCCCGCCATCGACGACCACGCTTTTCGGCGGTGTTTGCGTGCCTCTCTGCGACTCCAACAACAGCTCCACCACTCAAATCGCGAAAAATCTAGGTACGTAGAACGCGAAGATTGTATCTACGCTCAAACACGCTGGGACGGTATATCGACCGAATATCGCACCGTACGGCGTTCCTTTTCTGGAAAAGTAGCGGACCTGCTCGAATCTGATATTTTAGCAAAGCAATTTATTATAAAATCCAATCTTCATAGAATGCGAATTGTCGATGTAGATGTAAAACAGATTCGTTAAGTTTAAGAGAATTGCAGCTACGCAACTTTGTCAGGACAGTCCTTCGACGTTTGCGCGAAGTGAAATGAATTAAGAAGGGAGTAGGTTTAGTGTTCGATATGAAAATGAAACTCGACAGGAAAGCCATTTTCCTACTCGGATCCAGAGACTACTTCCGACTCGGAGGAGGACGAACTTCGCCGTTTGAATTCGCTTTCCCATCCACCGCCAGATACGTTGACCATTCAAGCGGAGGATGGTCCAACCATTTTAGGTCGGTTTTCCCTTGCGAATTTATCAGCCATTCAATTTCTCTCGTTCTTTACTGATCTCGTTTAAATTTCAGACGCAGGCACCACCTCCAGTAGTTGCACGGAGGAACATTCGCCTAGCGATCAACAGCAGGTGAATAAATAAGTTACCAACTATGCTATCTAAATTGAGATAGTCTCTTGTTCGTTCCGAATATAATTTCAATTTAATTTGACGCAGTGCGTGGTCGAAGTCGGGTCCTCCGGTATTATTCTCGACAGCAGAGAACAGGAGATAGAAGTCGAACAGAATGGATCGACTACGAACGACGTTATCACAACGATGGGTACTATCACCGAGGAAGTGGGTAGCTTGGAGGTCGCCTTTTTGTACGACGCACCGATGCGCGAGATGACGGTTCGTATGGATTCTGATCGACAATTCTTCGATGCGAGTCGGACAGATGACGAAAGGATTCGGTTGTCTTCAGGTTCATGTGTTGCAAGGACGGAATTATCCCGAAGGCATAGGCGGCAGCCAGGTGCGGCTGGTGCTTTTGCCGTCGAAGAAACAACGACGTAAAACTCGGGTGCGTCAGGGTACGTCCCCGCAGTATATGGAGAGTTTCCTGTTGCCGCGCGTCAACCCGGAAGATGTGAACGCGATGGGTGTGCGGTTGAGGGTGTATCTTTGGGGAAGAATGCGTCGAGAGAGATTGCTAGGCGAGGCCAGAGTCTCCTTCGATCAGATCAATCTTCAGCTCGAGACTACGCTCTGGTTAACGTTGCAACCACCACCCTTTTCTTCGGTAAGATGTTCCGCATTCACACACATGCCCTGTGTAGCATATTTTTTTATTTGGACGTAACACGGTGGAAACTGATATGTTTCAAGGTACAAGATTGGGGAACGACAAGTAGTTTGACTCGGAGCGATTCCACGGGATCACAACAATCGGTTCAATCGTACGCTTCGCCGACGGTACGTATGCCGACCTACGCCTCGCACGCCATTCCGCCTTATGGTAGCAGCATGAAGGGTGGAAGCGTGGCAGAGATTTTAGTAGGACTGGCATACAATGGGACGACCGGGCGCCTGTCGATCGAGATAATCAAAGGATCTCATTTTCGGGGTGGCGGTGGTAATGACACGAAACCCCCCGACACGTACGTCAAGCTCGCCCTCGTGGACAGTAACGGCCACGAAATGGAACGATCGAAAACTGGCTTGAAGCGCGCCCAGCCGAATCCTCTCTACAAGGAAACGTTCATTTTCCAAGTATGTCTATCTACCGAACAACACCTGATCTCTAGTCGATCGTTCTTTCTATCTAAATTCGACCGAATTCGTGTAGGTTGCTCTGTTTCAACTTGGAGACGTGACGCTTTTCCTGTCGGTTTATAATCGTCGAAGAGGCGGGATGGGGAGGAAAGGGAGGGAGATGATCGGCTGGCTCAGTTTGGGATTGAACAGTTCCGGCTCCGAGGAGCTCCAGCATTGGAACGATATGCGTGCAGCGCGACAGCCGACGCAGGTTCAACGTTGGCACTCGCTGCTACGTCCTTGAAACGTTCGATCACGAAAGAGTTCCTGTCACGAAGAGACATTTTACGTTAACGATAACGATATGGTTTGATCGATAGACACGACGGTCCCTCTCTTGCGCATCGTGACGCATATACACGAGTGATCGTGTAGCGAAAAAAGAAACAAAGCAAACTGAATTTTTCGAATGGCGAACGGCTGCTCTCTATTGGATTCGCCGTCTGTACTGCCCGAACACACAGAACACAGAAGTCAATATGCCGATCCTGCGAATCGCAGAGTTGTCATCATTTTCGCACGTGGTAACTCTGAGTTAAAAACACTATCGATGTACCAAGTACATTCCTTTTTGATACGCCGGACGGAGTTGTGGGTGTTTTCAACATACATATTAACGTATGTATATTATATACATATGCAAGCAGAAAAGAAACCGAGATAGGAAAAACGCGACACAAGTATATACGTCATACGCATGCAGTGTGCACACTGTTTACGCGCACATATACACACACGCACGCCCACGAGACACTTACTCTTACACTCGACACGTGAACACACACGCATTTCGCCGGTCCGAAAAAATTGATTAGCACAGATGGACCGCGAAACCGACTCCGATTCGATATGTGCCTGAGCCAACCTTAATCGTTTATTTTTTACTTTGTGCCTTTCACCCTTTTTAGGCCGTGTGTGTCCGTCGACGGAGAATCGTCGTGGGATACCCAGCTGAGTCGAGAGTCCTATTATGAACCGCGATCCTCTAGTCGTTCTCCGTTGGGCGAGCTCCGAACTGTGTAACTGTAACCTTATGTATCTTTCTCTATCTCTCGGCTCCGCGTTAACTTTCAACGGATACCAAATTCGGATTTGCAGTGCTTCGTCGCACGAATCGATGCCACGAATATTGGTGTTTCGATTGTTTATGGTTCGAGAATGGATTGATGAGTAGCCCCGAGGATTGCTGGCTAGGTTTTCAGCTGCTACTCTCTTTTGGAGTCAGCAGAAATGTTTTCGAAGGAACGGGAGGCTGTGAAATTCTCGTATTATCGTGTCTTTCCTTTATCTTCATGTATAAATTCTTGTTTTTTTTTTTTTACAAATTATATCGGACGAGTTCGGAAGTTTAGGAGTGTCATCACTATCCACGAGTTCGCTTGACTTTCGTGTATAAGCGTAATATATCGTTTGATAAATTAATTGACGAGGCGTTGAGGGTGAAATATAAGGGATTTAAAAGGGGGACGTGTAAGAGGATAAATTCACAATTCAATGACGCACAATAAACTCGCAGAGCGCACCCGGTAAACGCAGATGTGATCGTAGACTTGATATTACTATCAAATTAGATGCATAACACGATCGTGAATACGATAGAATGCGTAGAATCGTCATCGACGCGTTTACATTAGAGGGAATTGGCTGTTGGGCGAAGCGGGCGACTGATTAAGAATAAAAAAAAAACAGATGCTGTGAATCGTTTAACGCTTGACTTTTTCAAGCTTAGCGTTTAGGTGATTAATGACGATTAATCCATACTCGAACTATTCTCTCGTTTACGTACTTAGGCAATGTATAAAGCGATATCGAGGACTCAGAAGTCTTGTTTCTTTTTTAGCATCGTACGTACGCATGAATCTGAAATTTTCTTTTCTCACGGTACTCCGGGTAAACGCAGTTTCCGACGGGACACCTTTTAGCGCTTTCGAGTTTAGCGTAAGTTGATATTATCGTAGCAACGTGTGTCGGTTGCGTCACTGGATTTTCATTGCATTCCGGGTGCAGAAAAAATGAAATTACAACGAGAGACAGTAGAAAACGTAGCGCGGAAGTATGCGATTGAATCGTTCGAGTTGTATATTTTGTGGGACAAAGTGTTAAGCGTATCATGATCTTCAGCTAGATTACTAGGATACTTTTTCACTTCTGAGTCCTGGTAACATAATCGTATACTGTACAGTCTGTTTATAAACAACACGATGTTGAACGAGGATCAAAGTGAACGTTCGTTCGCGCTTGGAAGCGAAATGGGGCACGGGCAAGCCCGGCGATGCCTCTCGTATACCGGGAAGATCGCGATAAAAGTCGAAATGCTTTCTAAGTATTTATGATCAACACGTATACTTAATTAACAAGTAGGGCTTTTTCAGGGTAATTTCCAACGCCTTTGACTGTTTCCAATTTGTTACAGTATAATCGTAATTATATCGAGGTAATTTAAAGCATACGACTGGCTTTTCGCGGATACGATTCTGCCCTAACGACGATAATAAAGGGATGCTTGGTCGAGGAGGCTTAAATCTAAGCATCGATCACACGGGAGGTGTATGAAATTATTGAATTTTTATTATCTAAGTAACGATGTTCATGGCAGGTATGAATGTACAAACGGTGAAATGATTCTCACAACATCAAGGTGATTCATACTGTCTTGTTCTCCGATGTTCTATTCTATTGTGCATCGCTTTTCCAAATGTCCGACGCTTACATTGTCGATCACAGAAAAAAAAATATAACTTAAAAGAGAAAAAAGGATAATAATCATAAGTAAGAATCGCGAAGATTATAAACAGACTCATGTTGAATTTTTATCTATATTTTATCTACAGCACTCTCTCTCTCGATAAGCATTAATTGAAGTTTGAACGTCTACTGCACAAAATAATTACATTACTCAATGTTGATACTTATAAATTAACGATAATTATTATTATATCTATCGCGTTTTATAAAAGTGTACTCTAATACAATTAAACGAATAAAATTACAAGATAGTTGTTATCGAACGCATAAAGCGGAGAGGAATAAAACCTGTCAAAGTACATATTTCTCTAATAGTTCTTGTTTCTTTCTTGCGAGCAACGCTTCCTGAATGTCCTGTTGCGAGGGTATCGGTTTCTGCGCGGTCGTTTCGACCTCCTCTTCGACTTCCTCCTCTTTCTCGTCCTGTTTCCTCAACCACTCTTGAACTGCTTTTTCTCTCGCCTCCTGTTCGGCTTTCTGTTCCAGGGGCAACAAAATCCCGTCGTCGTCGTCTCTGTACCCGTAATAATCCGCGTCGATGTCTTTCATTAATTCAGCACGCGTTTTCCGAGGCGGAGGCGGTGGCTCTTGCTCAAACAATTCTCTGACGCCTGGCAATTCTTTCGCTGCACCAAAATACTTGTAACCGCGATTCCCTGGTACTTCCCGGCCCTCATGATCCAACATACGTGGTCCTACTCTAGAATAATCGGGACCACCTAATTCTTTTATTTGTGCCTCCCAGTGTCGTTTCTCTCTCAACAGTTTATTAATTTCATCATTCAAGTCTCTAATACGGAATTCTCCGAGACCAGCGTTCTGTATCTGCGCGACTTTCTTCGCGATCTCTCTGATTATCTGCATCCTCCATTTCTCCGCTTTTCTTAAGTCTCTACATTCCGAAGCTAAGTACGGTCTCCTCTCTTGTTCTTTCCTGGCTCCTTCATTGCTCTGCGCTGCTCTCCATCGCGCAAGAGTCGTCCTGTAAATAAAATTAGTACTTCAAGTAAACATCTATATAGAAATTCTAGAGAGATAACATATAAAACTATAGTTCAACCCTGATCAGTGATCATGTATTTATAAATTCTAGTACTTATTAAAAAATAAATAGTTGTAACACTTACATAGCCTTCTCTGCATTTCGCGCCTGAAATTAATAACAAGAATTAAATATGATTAACAATATAAAAGTTAATGGAAAATATGTGTAACTTCATTCAACAATGTTCACAATACATACCATGTTTTATGTTCGTTTAAACAACAGCGTAAACGATTTCGTAAACCGGTATTAAATACAGGTTAAATACAATTTGCAGGTTACGGTTCCGCCGTGTTTTTTAAGGTTATGTTATCATACAAGCCAATCGAGTTTTGACATACACACACGCCCTATATCGACATATTTTATATTCCTAATCTTTCCTTCCTGCATATTCGATTTTTAAATGAATGTCTTTCTAAGTTATGAAATGATGCGTTAACAATCTGGTTACAAATTTTAAATCTAACCAATCTAACTAGCTGCCCCGTTCACATGTCTTCCGTTTACATAGAGAACATTCCTAAACGGAAGTGACGTCTTCGGGTTTACGAATATACCTTGGGAATGTTCAAATACGATGGCGGAAAAGAATAAGGTCTGTATAGAATTGTCGTTCAGTAAGGGGATCAGTTTTAGTCAACGAATTAAAGTGAAAGAATTTTGGAAATATTTGGACGAGGCGAAACCCCTCGAACCTTACGAGGTCACCGTAGGTACGCGTTTTCCAGCATCGAAATTTAGAATTGTATCGTTCAAATCATCCGCCGAGTTCAATGTGTGTAAAATGAATTAGCTGAGAGAAAGGTAGTGCCGAAAGAGGAACGCAGACCACTAGCATGCAAACGGAAGTGGTATCACCAATTGAAGATTCTTCAAGAAAACGGTTTGGATAAAGCTGCGCTTGCAGCGAACGAAGACTGTAAACTTTGCCGTGAACACGCAGCTCACACGTAAGCCAGCTGACGCAGAGCTATTGGTTAAAATGTCCCAGTATCGCGACACAATTTCTACTCGTTCGTTTATTTTTCTATATTTTCAAGTTAACCTTAATTATAGAAAATAAGCCAGTGAATAAGAATCGTAAGGTTTACTTTAATTATT